GAGGACATTGATGAGGCTTCTCACCTGTATGACAGGCCATTATATGTCTTCTTATTTGATCGGATCGAACCGCTTTATATTCACAATGCGGACACTGGTGAGGCTTCTCTTCTGTATGGCGGGCCATTATATGTGTTTTCATATGTCCAGATTTAACAGCTTTATATTCACAATAAGGACATTGGAGAGGCTTCTTATCAGTATGATGGGCCATTAGATGTCTTTTTAACTCTTGAGGTGCAACAGATTTAAAATCACAGAAAGGACAGTGATGAGGCTTCTCACCTGTATGACGGGCCATTATATGTATTTTCATATGTCCAGATTGTACAGATTTATAATCACAATGGGGACATTGATGTGATTTCTCTCCTGTATGGCGGGCCATTATATGTTTTTTCAGTTGTCCAGAACCAACAGCTTTATATTCACAATGAGAACATTGGTGAGGCTTCTCATCTGTATGATGGGCCATTATATGTTGTTTCATAGATCTGGATAATTTTGATTTATATTCACACTGAGGGCAATGATAAGGCTTCTCTCCTGTATGATTGGCCATTATATGTACTTTCATATGTCCAGACTGTACTGCTTTATAATCACAGTGAGGACATTGGAGAAGCTTCTTGTCTGTATGATGAGCCTTGACATGTCTTTTCAAATTTCGAGATTCTACTGTTTTATATTCACACTGAGAACATACATGAGGCTTCTCTCCTGTGTGGTGGGCCATTATATGTCTTTTCATAGATCCAGATTGTACAGATTTATAATCACAGTGTGGACAGTGATGAGGCTTTTCACCTGTATGACGCGCCATTATATGTTTTTTCATATTTGAAGATAAAACAGTTTTATAGTCACAATAAGGACACTGATGAGGCTTCTCATCTGTATGGCAACTACCCTTGGCACCTATAAGCAATAAATGATCTAATTTAAAAATAAAATAAAACTATTCATATGAAGTGAATTAACTAAATTCATTACTTTAATATACTTTTTTAATTATTAAAAAACAAAATAAAAAGCTATTGACTCCTTAAAATTTTGCATTATTTTCACAAATAAATTAGAGATACATCTAGTAAGTTCATTAAAGTTCAAAGTACTTAATGAAAATTATCCTAAAGCAATATATTTTGCTTTTGTGCATAATTCTGATTCTGATGATTTTTACTATACAATACCAAGGTATTTAAAAAGAAAATAACCTATTCCACTACAACTCATTAATGGTTTTGTGTGGGGAGGGAGAGAAAATAGCGAAGGTTTGAAAACAACAGTTCTTGATTTCAAAAGAATGAACTGTTACCGTTTTCTAACAATAGTCTCAACGAATGAACTCTCCCTTCGCCTCTAGTCTAGCCATTTATTTGTTTTGTTTTTCCTGGCTCTTACTGTTTTTCAACAAGTCACAGCACATTATGAAATAACGGAACAGTATTTTTTTACAAGATATGTTCTTTTCTGCACAGTTTCTGTCTGTTATTATTAATGAGGTCTACTATAAACAAATACATCATAGCAGAGGTAAAGAGGTGAGCCAGTTGCGCCATCATAATTTTTGAGTGGGGCATATTTTGATGGGATTTTTAGGGTTCCAACGTTTGTCCAATGACAAACGTCCAAGACAACTTAGCCTATACCATATGCAAGCTGGTGCAACCTCTTTGGATCGATAGATCGATTCTAGCAGCCTGTTGTTTTTTAATGCTAGCACAATTTTTTAACAAACTACATAGTTTTTTTTTTGGTTCACTAGTTAATGAACATTAGTTATTAATATTAGTGACCTGCAAGCACAGTGTAGTGAGCGCTCACAAGTTACAGTTGTTGTAATTTAGTAATTCGTATTCATTTTTAGTCATTGTAATACATTTTTTTCAGTAGTGTACAAATTTTACTTTAGCGTATGCAATATGGGTGTTTTTATTTTTACCAAAATGATTATATTTAATAAAGATTTATTAATTGCATGTAGTTTTTTATTGAACGAGCCCGCAGAATACTTAAAGATTTTTGAATTTTAGAGGGGGGCAAATTTCGAAGGGGTTATGAATTTTTGGACTAAGGGACAAGGGAGAAACTTTTCTTTGCTCTGTTTTTTAAGAAAAGGTGAGCAATAAAATATCTTGGGAGGAGGGGGGCGGGGAGGTTCTTGCACCATCGAACTTGGGGGGGATGAGCATCTCAACATCATAGTTACAACATGACTAAATGAACTTAAACATATTTGTAGGTGTTACAATAAAATCTACCTAGGTTATAATTGTGTCATTCAGGGCACGATGTTTTGTAACTTTTTAGTTTGATTCCACTGAGCAACTATTTAAAATTATAGTCATTATTGTGATAATTGGGAGGAAAGTTCCTAAACTTAAAACTTGCTCTTTATATCACATGTTTGACTTGGAAAATAGTTTGTTTCTATTATTTGTGCTAAGAATTTTAAGATATACATTTATGTAATATTATTAAATAAATTGAAAAATTATCCATTTCAAGCTCAAAAATAATGTCCGACTTCATTTATGACACCTTTCATTCTTTTTCAGATAGTTATTTTTGATCTGAACTAATTTTTTTTTTAACAGTTCTTAAGAACTATTCTTTCTCTTCAACAAACAGTTAATTTACGTTTCTTAAAAAAAAATCAGAATCGCCCACCACAAGTCTTGGGTTCAGTACTTTGTAATAATATACTGTTTCAAGATCAACAGTTATGCATGGAAGCGATAGGACCGAAATAGCATTCAACTGCGAGGTTTTCTCTCTTCATTAAGTTATTTAATTAATTGTAACCCCATTTTATAGATGCTGGATTTGCCCCAAGAGGGTCTTTCAACCATAGAGTCAATCTATGGCTGAAGTAATGGAATATCTAACCATCTGCTGGAAATATTGCAAGGTGATTTAACTGAGGGGTTTGAGGAGACAATCTTCAACTACCAGCAGCCTGGTTTTTCCTTCTTAATCCTATTAATTAATATAATTCTATTAAGAATGCCCATTATACAGAGGCTAGGGGTGTAGCATACAGTTGGTGAACAACCCCATTATACTCTAATTTTTTCTCCAATATTTGCCGTAAGGAAAATATTTGATCAACAGTCGAACGGTTCAAAATGGCTTACAATTCTTTTGTCCACCAGAAACTGTAAAATATTCTAATCGCGCAGAGGATTCCAAAAACATTAGTAAATGTAGCCATGATGTGCTTGACGGAAACACTCAATAAAGTTAGAATTGGTAATAATTTATCCAAAAAGTTTGAGGTTCGTTCGGATTTTAAACAACAGGAGGATTCCCTTTTGCCTGTCCTGTTCAATTTGGCATTAGAACATGCCATTAGGGAGGTAATGCGAACCAGAAAATGGTTGGATCTGGGCGGGACAACACCCGTGCTAGGCAATGCGGGTGATCTGGTCCTGTTAAGTGAAGACACGGAAACTATAAACTAACTACAACAACGTTAATGAAGACAAAATATATGGTTAGCTGCAAAAATGGTGATATTGCTGGTGATATCGATATAGAAGGTAATTTGTTTGAACAGGTAGAGAAGTTTACGTATCTAGGGTCTACGATAACTAGAAAAAACAAAATTGAAGAGGAGATTGTGGTTAGGGCGAAGGCGGGAAATGCTTGTTATTTTTCTGTGATAAAACTACTTGGCTCGCGTCTCTTGTCCCGGAACCTAAAAACTGAAATTTATAAAACCATTATCTTAACTATAGTTCTTTATGGATGCGAAACGTGGCCGCATTAAGGGATGAGCGACGTCTTAAGGGTTTTTGAAAATAAAGTATTGCGCATAATATTCGGACCGAAGAAGGATGAATTAACCAGAGAATTCAGTCGGTTACACAATGCCAGATTGTGTGAACTGTATCAGGTTAATATAACTGAAGTGGTTACATTGCGGCAAATCAAATGGGCTTGTAAAATTATTGGGCTTAGTAATGAAAGAATTCCTAAAACGTTAATATTTGCTCTACCGAATGGTAAACATCTGAGGGGTAGACCGAAGCGAAGAGGGGAAGATTTCGTTAAAGCTGATCAGGACTAGGTTTGGACGGCGAACAATGGAGGAAGGTGAGTAATAAGCGATTGGTGGTGTTGACATCGAACCATCGGTTTCGCTAAGCCTTTTATAATTATTGTTATAATATGTGTGTAGCATAGGATCACAGTGCCTTATTCACTGTGCTACCAAGCTCATATTTAACGGAAAAGTATTATAATAAAATAATCTTTTCTGTTTTATTTTTTAAATTGTAAGAACATTATGTATATGTGTCTTTGTGTGTGTATATATATATATATATATATATATATATATATATATATATACAGACATATTTTTTCCAAAAATCATACAGTAAACAAATATAAATATGAACAGGAAATAAAAAATTATTAGAATTATTAATATATGTTGTAAGTAATCAGGGATCACCCCCTGAAACACAAAAAATAACAATTCGATACAGTCAGAACTTCACCACCATTTAATGGCCTCCATCTTGCTGCATCTGTTCATTTGGTGAAGCGTGAACACATTAAGGTACTCTCTAAGAAATGGCAAGTAAAGACAATATGAGTTGCTAAACTCCAAGAGAACAGCCTGGTGGAGGAAATATGGGGGGGGAGGAGAGGTGGCCAAACCATGAAACTCAATATCAGACAGAATGTGAGTCCAAATTGACAATCAAGCAATATGTAATTAATCTGTAAAGAACCACACAATTGTACAAAGGCACAAATTTCATTTATATTATTTTATTCAATTATACGCAATATAATCATGTTCTCAATATTTTGTTTAATTTAATCAATAATCAAATTTCAGTGATCCAACCTCATACAGTCCTCACCAATTTTCACAATAACCAGCGGACACAATTCACTTACAGATCATTGGGTAATATTTGGCTCACACCAAATTATCTTGACCTAACAGTAAGGTTATATTTATTAAGCATGAAGTAAACAAAACATATCATACAAATGTCATTTATTGAATACAAAAAATGTTTTTAAAACTCTAAAAAATATACAATTTATGTTCGGTTCTAACAACTTGATACTCATTCAAAATAAAACAACTATATAATACACATTAATCAAACCTTAAATTATACATATAAAAACTGCAAATGTTTTCAAAACCATCCGCTGTCAGGTAAGCTTGGTGTCGCTATCCTGCTGACGCGATACTGTTAGCAATATTGACACTCACTCATAACCGTCTGTCAGTAACACAAATTCTTCTTTTAGAAATGCTCCAGCGTCTTCGATATCACCGAATCAATTTCGGCTCATTTTCTCTCAATGTTCTACCAAACCAAACTCAAAATTTGTTACATCTATCGACTCTTGTTCCATATCTGATCGTTCCACTGCATGATCTCTATTCTTAGACAACCGTGCACTCATACATCCACTACTCCCCACCTGGTTACCTTCTGGTTGCCCAAATACATGACTCTCCCCTCAACCTATATTACTCCACCTCATATTTCATTTTTTGAAAATAGATCCCGATGACATTACTTCACACCACTATTTAAATCTTGACCAATTATACGTACAAATATAAATTCTTCATACCTTATTACACTATAATACATTTTCCACCAGTTTTAAAATCGATATTAGCAGTGTCAAATTGTTGTATTCATTCAAATTTTGCTGATATTATACTATGACGTAAATTTGACCAATATATATCTCTGATAATTGTGACTGCTTTGTTTTGTAACCAGTAGTTAATGATTACTAGCCCAAATTAGAGAGGATTCTCATATGAATGATGGGCCATTATATGTTTTTTTATCACATGAACAGATTGTACAGATTTTTAATTACGATGAGGATAGCGATGAGGCTTTTTATCTGTTTGATGGAACATTGTATGGCTTTTCATAGTTGCCGATTGTTAACAGAGTGAAGGCATTGATGGGACTTCTCCGATATATGATGGGAAATTATGTTTTTTCAAATAACTTGATGCAGCCAATTTAAAGTTGTACTGAGGAAACTGGTGAGGCTTCTCATCTGTGTGATAAGATAATTCTACTATTTCATTGTTTTAAATAATATAATTTATAATCACAGTAAGGATTCCAATGGGTCTTAGTATGTTTTTTTTATACCTCCATATTGTACAGATTTAAAGTCATGTATATGATGGGACATAATATGTTTTTTTGCATTTTTAGAACTGCAACACATTTATAATCCCCATGACAACAGTGAAAAGGCATCTCACTGGTATGAAAAATCATATTATGTTGTTGTAACTCTTAAGGTTAGACAGATTTATAATTTCAAAGAGGACAGTGGTAAGGCTTCTAATCTGTATGATGGACCATAAATGGTGTTTAATAGTCCCAGATAGAACAGATTTGTAGCCACAGTGATGACCTTAATGAGAGTTCTCATCTGTATGACAGGACATTATATGTTCCTTTATATTTTTAGAGTGTATAGCCTTATAATCAAAGTAAGGACATTGATGAGGTTACTCACCTGTGTGATGGGACATTATATGGCTTTTCATATTTCCAGATTGTGCAGACATGTAATCGCAGTGAGGACATTGATGGGACTTCTTATTACGAGCCATTACTTTTAATCATATTTCTAGACTGATTGGATCCAAAATCATTGTGAGATTTGTGAGGCCTTTCACCTGTATGACGGGACATTATACAGTTTTTCATACGTCCCGAACGTGCAGATTTATAATCACAATGGGGACATTGATAAGGCTTTTCAACTGTGTGCTGTGATATAAAATGCCTTTTCATATCTCCCAATCGTGCAGATTTATGATCACAATGGGGACATTGATGAGGCTTCTCACCTGTATGATGGGATATTATGTGGCTTTTCATACATTTAGATTGTACAGAAATGTAATCGCAGTGAGGACATTGATGAGGCTTCTCACCTGAATGATGAGACATTATTTGTTTTCATATTTCCTGATTGTACAGATTTAAAATCACAATGGGGACATTGGTGAGGCTTCTCACCTGTATGATGGGACATCATATGTCTTTTCATATTACTAGGGTATACAGTCTTATAACTACAGTGAGGACATTTATGAGACTTTTCACCTGTATGATGGGACTTAATGTGTATTTTCATATCTTCAGATTGTACAAACTTGTAATCGCAGTGAGGACATTGATGAAGCTTTTCACCTTTATGATGACGCATTATATGTCTTTTCATATTACTAGAGTATGCAGTTTTATAACCACAGTGAGGACATTTATGAGACTTCTCACCTGTGTGACGGGACATTATATGGCTTTTCATATTTCCAGATCGTACAGATTTGTAATCACAGTGAGGACATTGATGGGACTTCTCACCTGTATCTGTATGATGGGACTTAATGTGTCTTTTCATATTTCCAGATTGCACAGACTTGTAATCGCAGTGAGGGCATTGATGGGACTTCTTATTACGAGCCATTACTTTTTTTATCATATTTCTAGACTGATTGGATCTAAAATCATCATGAGATTTGTGAGGCTTTTCACCTGTATGATGGGACATTATATGGTTTTTCATATGTCCGGAACGTGCAGATTTATAATCACAATGGGGACATTGATGAGGCCTCTCACCTGTGTGCTGTGACATTATATGTCTATTCATATCTCCTGAATGTGCAGATTTATAATCACAACAGGGACATTGATGGGGCTTTTCACCAATGTGCTGTGACATAATATGTCTTTTCACATCTCCCGATCTTGCAGATTTATAATCACAATGGGGACATTGATGAGGCTTCTCAGCTGTATGATAGGACATTATATGTATTTTCAGATGTTCCGATCGTGCAGATTTATAATCACAATGGGGACATTTATGAGGCTTCTCACCTGTATGATGGGATATTATGTGGCTTTTCATACATCCAGATTGTACAGACATGTAATCGCAGTGAGGACATTGATGAGGCTTCTCCCCTGAATGATGAGACATTATATGCATTTTCATATGTCCCGATTGTGCAGATTTATAATCACAATGGGGACATTGGTGAGGCTTCTCACCTGTATGATGGGACATCATATGTCTTTTCATATTACTAGGGTATACAGTCTTATAACTACAGTGAGGACATTTATGAGACTTCTCACCTGTATGATGGGACTTAATGTGTCTTTTCATATCTCCAGATTGTACAGACTTGTAATCGCAATGAGGACATTGATGAGACTTCTTATTACGAGCCAATACTTTTTTTTTCATATATCTAGACTGATTGGATCTAAAATCATCGTGAGATTTATGAGGTTTTTCACCTATATGATAGTCTATTATACCTTCTTCAACAGATTTATGATCACACTGAAAATATTGCTGGAACTTTTCATCTGTCTGGCTAGAATCATTGGCACCTATAAGCAATAATATATTACCTTTAAAGAAAAAAAAAGTTATTTTAAGTAAATTAAATATATTCATTGTTTTAATATATTTCTGAAAATATTAACAAAATAAATGGCAATTATTAAAAATATGAAATAGTTTTTAATATATGCATTAATGGTACCTCTAATAAAAACTTTAAGTTTATAGAACACAATGAACATTAATGCAAAATTTCAGTATAGTACACTTTCTTTCTGTATAGTGTTTTTAAGGTTCAATACCAAGATAGTTAGAAAGTAGATTCGTTCTAAACTGTTGGTTTATGTTCTAATACTTTAAAACCATTACGGAACACAGAGGGGATCACTGCAGCCAATACAGGGGACAAAGAAGAGTAATTCACCTTAAATTATGGCCATTAGTCCAGTCAACGAGTGGTTCACGAGGAGGTGGGGTGTAGAGTGAGCAGGGCATAAGCGATTCCTTCAGAAACTTGTTCAGGGTGCTTAGGGTATGAACATATCAAAAGTCCTGACGCTTAGTAGGTGAGCTGCAGAGGGAGGGAAGGTCAAAATTTTGGATTTTTAATTGTATCTCGAAAATAGTGCATTGCAGAAGAAATTTTTCAAATAATAAATCAAAGTTTATAAAATTACCTTACACTTTGATTCAATGGGTTTTATTCGAATTTGAAACCGTATTCGACCTACACTGTTGAAAAAAGATGCCATTGTAAAATAAATTCATTTCGCCTCACAGTGTTCATCAAATATTACTTCGTATCGTCAAAGCTTTTCATCAGAGAAATAAATTCATTAAAAAGATATCTGTGCATATACATATGCAAACTAATCTTCAACCAGTCTACAGTAATGCTATTTTAAATTCTTTTGCAAAATGTTGTCATTATTCCCATTTTACAGAGGGTAAGGGAGTAGCATAGGATCACAGTATCTTATTCACTGAGCTACCTAGCTCGTATTTAACAGAAAAGGATTATAATAAAATAATCTTTTCTGTTTTATTTTTTAAATTGGAAGATTATATATATATATATAATATTATATATATATATATATATATATATATATGTGAGTCTTTGTGTATGTAATATATATATATATATATATTTTTTTTTTGGGTTGGCACTACAGACCACGAAGATTTTTTGCCGGGAGATGTGGTCTCCTTACAGATGTGTTACTTGCAGGAACTCAGATAGCAGGTGCGGGGTCACCCAATCTCACGTTGCTATAAACTATGGTTTCAAGGTGCAGCGGCTGGACAACCGTAGCTCCATAGCCAATCCGTTTTGGGGATAATCTGGCAGTATCCTATCCTTCCCACCGACTCAGTCGGGTTCAAGGACAGAGACAAATTGGTCTAGATCCATGGATTATAGCCGCTGAAAGTCAGCATTCGCAAGAGGACCTATATTTCTTTCCCCAAAACAGCCTGGACCGAACCTCAGGGGGGCTACAAACATCCTGGGTAGGGTAAGTGCACAGGGTAGGGTCATCAGTCCTACGCCTGGTCGGTATGAGTTGCCTCCATGAGGCTGACGGGCCTCACATATTTGGGGAGAGACTCGGGCAGCATGGCTTTCCCTGGTCGACGGTTAAGCACAACATTGGTTACTTATTGCGAGTGACTTAGCCCGTACAGCTACCACAGCTCCCATACATATATACACACATATATATATATATATATATATATATATATATATATATATATATATATATATATACATACATACATATATTTACCAAAAAGCATGCAGTAAATAAATATAAATATGAACAGGAAATAAAATATAATTAGAATTATTAATATATGTTGTAAGGTTATGTCTACTAAGTATGAAGTAAACAAAACATATCATACAAATGCCATTTATTGAATACAAGAAATATTTTTAAAAATCTAAAAAATACAATTTATGTTCGGTTCCAACAACTTGACAATCATTCAAAATAAAACAATTATATACTACACATTAATTAAACCTTAAATTATACATACAAAAACTGCAAATGTTTTCAAAACCATCCGCTGTCAGGTGAGTTTGGTATAGCTATCCTGCTGGCGCGATACTGTTAGCAATATTGACACTCACTTAGCACCGTCTGTCAGTAACACAAATTCTTCTTTTAGAAATGCTCCAGCGTCTTCGATATCACCGAATCAATTTCGGCTCATTTTCTCTCAATGTTCTACCAAACCAAACTCAAAATTTGTTACATCTATCGACTCTTGTTCCACATGTGATCGTTCCACTGCATGATCTCTATTCTTGGACAACCCTGCACTCATACCTCCACTACTCCCCAGCTGGTTACCTTCTGGTTGCCCAAACACATGGCTCTCACCTCAACCTATATTGCTCCACCTCATATTTCATTTTTTGAAAATAGATCCCGATGACATTACTTCACACCACTATTTAAATCTTGACCAATTATACGTACAAATATAAATTCTTCATACCTTATTACACTATAATACATTTTCCACCAGTTTTAAAATTTGATTTTAGCAGTGTAAAATTGTTTCATCAATTCATTATATATTATACTATAGCAAACATTCGATCAATATATTTTTCTGATAATTGTGAGTGCTGTGTCAATCAAAGTGAGGACATTGATGAGGCTACTCACCTGTGTGATGGGACATTATATGGCTTTTCAAATTTTCAGATTGTACTGACTTGTGATCACAGTGAGGACATTGATGAGGCTTTTCATCTGTATGATGACGCATTATATGTTTTTTCATATTACTAGAGTATGCAGCCTTATAATCACAGTGAGGACATTTATGAGACTTCTCACCTATGTGCTGTGACATAATATGTCTTTTCACATCTCCCGATCTTGCAGATTTATAATCACAATAGGGACATTGATGAGGCTTCTCAGCTGTATGATAGGACATTATATGTATTTTCAGATGTTCCGATCGTGCAGATTTATAATCACAATGGGGACATTTATGAGGCTTCTCACCTGTATGATGGGATATTATGTGGCTTTTCATACATCCAGATTGTACAGACATGTAATCGCAGTGAGGACATTGATGAGGCTTCTGCCCTGAATGATGAGACATTATATGCATTTTCATACGTCCCGATTGTACAGATTTATAATCACAATGGGGACATTGGTGAGGCTTCTCACCTGTATGATGGGACATCATATGTCTTTTCATATTACTAGAGTATACAGTCTTATAACCACAGTGAGGACATTGATGGGACTTCTCACCTGTATGGTGGGACTTAATGTGCCTTTTCATATCTCCCAATCGTGCAGATTTATAATCACAATGGGGACATTGATGAGGCTTTTCACCTGTATGATGACGCATTATATGTTTTTTCATATTACTAGAGTATGCAGCCTTATAATCACAGTGAGGACATTTATGAGACTTCTCACCGATGTGCTGTGACATAATATGTCTTTTCACATCTCCCGATCTTGCAGATTTATAATCACAATGGGGACATTGATGAGGCTTCTCAGCTGTATGATAGGACATTATATGTATTTTCAGATGTTCCGATCGTGCAGATTTATAATCACAATGGGGACATTTATGAGGCTTCTCACCTGTATGATGGGATATTATGTGGCTTTTCATACATCCAGATTGTACAGACATGTAATCGCAGTGAGGACATTGGCAAGGCTTCTCCCCTGAATGATGAGACATTATATGCATTTTCATACGTCCCGATTGTACAGATTTATAATCACAATGGGGACATTGGTGAGGCTTCTCACCTGTATGATGGGACATCATGTGTCTTTTCATATTACTAGAGTATACAGTCTTATAACCACAGTGAGGACATTGATGAGACTTCTCACCTGTGTGTTGTGACATAATATGCCTTTTCATATCTCCCAATCGTGCAGATTTATGATCACAATGGGGACATTGCTGAGACTTCTTATTATGAGCCATTACTTTTTTTTTCATATATCTAGACTGATTGGATCTAAAATCATTGTGATATTTATGAGGTTTTTCACCTACATGATAGTCTATTCTACCATCTTCAACAGTTTCAGCTCTAACAGATTTATGATCACACTGAAAACATTGCTGGAACTTTTCATCTGTCTGGCTAGAATCATTGGCACCTATAAGCAATAATATATTACCCTTAAAGAAAAAAAAAGTTATTTTAAGTAAATTAAATATATTCATTGTTTTAATATTTTTCTGAAAATATTAACAAAATAAATGGCGATTATTAAAAATATGAAATAGTTTCTAATATATGCATTAGTGGTACCTCTAATAAAAACTTTAAGTTTATAGAACACAATGAACATTAATGCAAAATTTCAGTATAGTACGCTTTCTTGCTGTATGGTGTTTTTAAGGTTCCAAGATAGTTAGAAAGTAGGTTCGTTCTAAACTGTTGGTTTATGTTCTAATACTTTAAAACCATTACGGAACACAGAGGGGGCCACTGCAGCCAATATAGGAGACAAAGAAGAGTAATTCACCTTAAATTATGGCCATTAGTCCAGTCAATGAATGGTTCACAAGGTGGGGTGTAGAGTGCGTGAGCAGGGACATAAGCGATTCCTTCATTAACTTGTTCAGGGTGCTTAGAGTATGAACATATCAAAAGTCCTGAAGCTTAGGAGGTGAGCTGCAGAGGGAGGGAAGGTCACAATTTTGGATTTTCACTTATATCTCGAAAATAGTGCATTGCAGAAGAAATTTTTCAAATAATAAATTAAAGTTTATAAAATTACCTTACACTTTAATTCAATGGGTTTTATTCGAATTTGAAACCGTATTCGACCTACACTGTTGAAAAAAGATGCCATTGTAAAATAAATTCATTTCGCCTCACATTGTTCATCAAATATTACTTCGTATCGTCAAAGCTTTTCATCAGAGAAATAAATTCATTAAAAAAGATATATGTGCATATACATATGCAAACTAATCTCCAACCAGTCTACAGTAAAGCTATTTTAATTTTTTTTGTAAA